AAGCATTTTTTACTTAATATCACCTGATGCTTTGGTAAGATTCATGCCCTAAGAAAACAGAAATAGGGCTTAAAGCAGTTCAATGACCTTTCAAAAAATAGCTGTTACGAAACCACCCTGCATTCTGCAGATGGCAGGAACATGGTGCCTTCGCACGGAATAGCTTCCTGCTACAGGGGGCTCTGAATCTGAACAAACCATTGCACTGCTGAATAAACCATACCTGGTGAAACGATGGAAATGCACCTGGAGGCCGGTGTTGCCAGATGCGAGCTCTGCCTTAGGGAGCAGTTGCCCCGCGGTGGCTGCAGCGTGCCCACGGGCAGCACCATGGGCTCTTTGTGCTGTGGCCAGCGGGGCTAACGCAGCCCGCGGATGTGTGTAGGTGGGACACAGCATCATGAACACGGAGCGCTGGCTCCTGTGCATTGCCGCGGTGGCAAAGGAGCGCGGCTGCTGCCTGTGCTGCAAAGGGGACACGGAAACACACGTATCCAACGGGGCAGCCCATCTGCCAGCATCAGGTGGGAAAGACTCACTGTGGGATCAGAAGTGGATAAAGACATCTGTTTCTAGCAAGCTGATTCCTCTTCCTGCGCTCCAAACCAAGAACTGTTGTTTTCTTTATTTTCTCTGCTCCAGAAAATGGTGGAGGAGGAAAGAACTGATGCCCCCCAACAAGGAAGTTTTCCAGCAGTTCATTTATGAGGGAACTTAAATGGTCTTCCAGAGGCGTGCTGGGAGGCCAGGCAGAGAAGAAGCAGAGACGGCCTCACACCTCCATCGCTAGAGCTTGGGCTGATGCTCCTGGTGGCAATGGAGTGGGGATGCAGTGCACAGCATCCTAAAAGAGCCAGGGTGCAGCTGTCAAGTTGCCTGAAGTTGCCCCATCTCTGTTGCGGTTGTTTTCCCCCTGCATTCTTCAGAAAGCACCACGAGTTTTGGAAATTCCCCTCTTGGACAGGCTCGAAGCCTGTGGGGAAGTGTTGTGCTTGTCCTGGTCCCGTGTGCCAGACTGCCCGTATTCCTCCGCACGCAGGTAACAGAGCAAGCAACGCTTGGTCCATCACCCACCATCCATCACCTCAGCCACCCAGCACTTGGGTGCACAGCAGCACCGACACGTCCAAGCAGCCCCCATGCCCAACACCCCAAATCCTAGGGATTAGCATACAGCACTGGGCAGGCTTTCTGGGGAAAAAGGGGGGAAAAAGCACATCCCCAGCAGGA